AGCAAATCAATTTTATTATAAAGGGTATTGAAATGATTTTTTTTTTTTTAAATGACTGTTTTTTTTGTTTTTGTTTTAATTTATATTCTTATGGACCCTGTGCCAATCTATAAAAACCTTTTTATGGTGGACTGGGAACATGCTGTCATTCTGGGATGGACATGCTTGCGTAGTGAAAATGATGCTCTATTGCCATTATTATTATTATTATTATTATTTGTAATTTTCAGTGCAATGGTACAGAAACACATACATTGTACAAAATGTGAGATAACGGTAAACAGTTGTTTTTACATGTGTTAGCATACAGTACACTGTGTTTCACATTGAATGTTAACTTCGGTAAAAATTTTACATAAATTAACCTGGGAAGATTGGAGGTGGGGGGAGGATAGGAAGGGAGATGGGGGTGGTAAGGAGGGGTGTGGTGGTGGGTAGTCCGACAATCTATCAAGCATTCAGGCTTTCAACGTCCTCCCTTTTTATGTCTTTGAGGAGTACGAGTTGGATGTTTGTGATTATGCGTTAAGTCTAAATAGTAGGAGCGTGAGAACTGGGGGCCTATTCTCTTAGGATTACAACTCATACTTAAACTTGGCAGTGGCAGCAGGGTGAGATTTGGGATATTAGTGTTTATATCTTAGCATTTGTTATGGTTACACTACCTCTCAGAACTAGGTTGGCATTTACCATGAAATCGGATACCTATGTGGTCATACACCATAGTCATCAATATATCCACAGCTGTCGGAGTCACAGGTTCTGTCTCATATCCATTTGGGTATTTCTCCAGAGTTAGTGAGAGTTATGTATAGAAGCACAAATGCAAGGGGTGGAAAGTAGAATGTCATTCAGTTTTCCCCTCAAGTAATTGCAGGAGGGATGCCTACAGCATTGTTATAGAGATTGTGCAGGCTATGTACTTGTGCTTGGATTCAACGAAAGATATAACTCCCTCATTGACCATGCTGCTGTCACAAATGTTTTTGGGTGTACATTTTTCCTCGCCATTATTTCATATTGTCTAGTTGTATTTATTGTTTGGATACATTCTAAGCATAGAAAGGCTGTAAGTATATGGTAAATCAGATATTTACTGTCTTTCAAGATCCCTTGGGAAGAGATGAATAGGTATAGTTCTGGTTGTTTTGGTTTCTGTATTCCTGAGCATTTATGTATGAGCTGTGCTATTTCTGTCCAGAATGTGGTCAGATGTGAGCAGGATCATCAAATATGGTACATTGTTCCTGGCTCAGACAAGCATCACCAACATTTATCCAAAAGGCCTGGGTTACTGTGTTTTAAATGTGTGGGCACTAGGTACCATCGGTACAAGATTTTCCTGGCAAGCTCTGTGTGAGAAATGCATAGTGAGAGGGGTTTGTGTGCCAGGATAATTTTTCACCATTGATTTCCACTGAGTGGGCAATTTAGTTCTTGCTCCCATGCTTTTACAAAGTCAAAATTCTTGTGGCTTGTTTCGGTTTGACTTTTGACGTATATTGTTGTGATGAATTTGGTGGGTGGTTTTAAGCGGAGACATATTTTTCTACATCCGTCAGCTGTAGGCCATTTACTGTATTATATGATAAAACTGTTTGTTTTATTGACCATGAGAGTATTTGCGTTTATAAAAATTTAGCCGTGTTGGGCAACCCTTATTCTTTCTGCATTTCTTTAAAGTTTTTCAAGCAGGGCCCTTGAAATGGTACAGGTGTGTTATGCCGTGTCTATGCCAAAGTTTAATGTTAAAGTCTGGGATGAAGGTGGGAAGGGCTGCAAGTGGTAGTGCAAGCGAAATCCCCTTGTGCAATGCATGTGTTTCCTTTTAATTTATCCCAGAGTTGGAGTGTGAGTTTAGTGGTTGGGAGCATGTTTTTATGTTTCGACCTGAAGTTCTTGGGCATCCACGCAAGTGCTGTGAGTGTGATATCATCAGTGTAGGCTGATTCAATAGCAAGCCAATGTGGAGATTTGAGGTGGCTGCTTGCCGACAGTATTGTGCTGATTATTTCAGCTTTGTAGTACCCCATGATATCCGGTAGTCCCATCCCACTTTGTGAGAAAGATTTGTGTGAAGTAGTTTTTGCTACTCTTGGTTTAGAGCTATTCCAGATAAAGTCATTGATAAGCGATTGTGCTTCAAGAAAGTATCGGGTCGGGATTCGAAGCGGCAATGTGCGAAATAAGTTCTGGAATCTCGGGATAATTAGCATTTTGGTAGCTGCTATTCTACCTGACCATTATATGAATTTCCTTTCCAGTCCTGCAGTTGATTTTTTTATATCAGTTAGCAGGTTGTGATAACTGGCCTTAAAGAGGCCAGAAGTCTGTGGTGTTATGGCTATACCTAGAAATTTCAGAAAGTCTGTTCACCATTTGTATGTGAAGGTGTTCTTTAAGTTTGTCAATGTGTTTTTTGGAATATTGATGCCGATGGCTTGTGTTTTTGAGAGGTTCAGCTTCTAGTCCAAACATTTACTGTACTGTGATAGGATGTTGTAGAAGTTCGGAACTGAGATGTTGGGTTATTCTAGAGTTAATAGGATATCATCTGTGAATAGCATTAATTTATACTCTCAATTTTTAATACTAACACCATGTATATTGGGGTTGTCTCTAATCAGTTGGGTCATGGGTTCTAATACCAAGATGTAGAGGATGTGGGAGAAAAGCCAGCCCTGTCATGAGCCATTAGTAATCGTAAAGCTGCAGGAAGCATGGAGGCTTGACCACTTGTGCTGATGGGTGGGAATACCGTACAGTAAAAAAAGATATGATAGGATTCCGAATCTCTCTAGGACAGTGAGGAGGAAGGGCCAGTGGAGTCTATCAAAGGCTTTTTCTACATCCATTGAAAGAAATACACTGGGTGTATAAGTCCAAGACTTTCCTGGTACCATCTGTGCCTTGGCATCCGCTCACAAACCACACATGGTGTGCATGTATGATCGCTGGGGTAATTTGGGTTAGTCTGTTAGAGTAGATTTTGGCTAGTAATTTAGTATCCGTATTGAGCAGTGAGATCAGGCATTCATTTTGGCTCTTGGTTGGAGGTTTCCCCAGTTTAGGATGGGTGGCCACATGCTCCATCAGCATCTCGTGTGGCATGTCTCCCATATTTATTATGTGATTCCAATTTTGGGGAAAGAATGTGTGAGAAGAGTTTATAGTATGAGTTTGAGAGGCCATCTGGCCCTGGTGATTTACCCGGTGGCAGGGCCGCTATGGTTTGTGTGATTTCTTGGGATGTTACAGGCCTTTGTAGCATTTCCTGTTGTTGTGGGGTCATGCTTGATGTGCATCTAACCTAGAGTCTGCTCACCATTAATCAATACCTCTACAATAGCTAAATGCTCTCTCTCTCTAGTTATTCTTTGAGCTCAGAGTGGCTGTACCACTGTGGGGAAATGTTCTATTTCTGAAGTAGTCGGGTGATGGGTGTTGTCATCATGTTTTAGGTTGTATAGGGCACGGTAGAAGGTGGCCATTTCATTATTAATATCTTGGGGTTGTATAGTTTTTTGTTAGTGTTTGTTATGAGATATGGGAGTTTGTATTGTGTCTGTTTCTTCCTTAACATTGTTGCAAGTGTTTAACCTTCTTTGTTACCCAGTGAGTAATTTCTCATTTTCAGGCATTGGAGTGTGTAGGCTGTTTTAGCTAGATGTATTTCATTTATGCGTGCTGTTGTGTCAGCTATGGTGCGTAGATGTTGGTCAGCTGGTTGCAGGATGTGTGCATTTGTTGCATCTCTTAGGGAACATAGGAGTCCTAAGTAGCCATGTTGGGATTTATGTTTCAAGAATGAAGCTCGGCTAATCAGTAGCCCTCTAATGGTAGACGTATGGGCCTGCCAAAGAGAGAGAGGAGATCTCTAGGGTTTTATTGAGGGTGAAGAAGTTCTCCAACTCTTGTGTCAATTGCGTTATAAAGTTGGAGTCCTGCAGGAGGGAGTCTTTTGACAGTTTTTGACCCCTATGTGGGAATTTGATTTGCAGGGTTAGTGTGATCGGTGCATGGTCCGACCACACTCTGTATCCTATAGAGCATTGTGTGATTTGAGGGAGGAGGTGGACTGGCACCATGATCAATTCTAGAGAAAGTTTTATGCCCACTGGGAAAAGTAGGGAAATTCTCTCCCAATAGGGTTGAGTGTTCTCCAGGCATCATAGATGCCATATTCATTAGTTAGTTTAAGCAATGCTTTGCAATGTGTGAATATTGCTGAATGTCTGGGGGATGTGTCTGGTAGGGTAGTATCCATGTGTGAATCCAAGACATGGTTTAGATCACCGCACATAACTATTAAACTAGAGGGTGCCGTTGGGAGCTTAGTTAGCACCTTGTGAAGGACGTTTCTCTGGTAGTCATTAGGACCATAGAACCCCACCAGGATATATTCTGCATCATTAATCATGAAATGTAAGATGAGGAACCTGCCCTGAGTATTCTTTTTGATTTGCTATAGTTCAAATGACAGTAAATAGTGTATTAGGAGGGAGATCCCTCTTGTTTTTCAGGTGTGGGTGGCGTGGTATTGAGTCGAGTATTCCCGTAGACCAAACTGAGGGATTCTGTTTGTGACAAAGTGTGTCTCCTGGACACATAGTATGTCTTGCTGCCTCTTGAAAGATACGTAGTTTAAGTGGGTGATTCAAACCCCTTGTATTGTGTGAGTGTTGCCACGGAGAAGTCAGCATATATGGTTACGGTAGGATGTCCTCATGAGGCTGTGTCTTGTTGCAGTAAGATCGTAGCAGATGCTCTTTTATATTCAAGTAGTGTGCCTGGAGGAGCACATTGTGTGTGGTCAAGTCAGGCAGGTAATTTGGCATCTGGACGTGGTGCACCCAGTCAAGCAGGAGAATGTCTGCTGGTACATCTTGTGCATATGCTCGGAGGATGCGAGGCCTGCAGGTCTTCACGCAGGACAGATTCAAGCACTCCTTCATCTCCTATCCTCTGAGTTCACCATCCTGGATTCTAGGAGTTTTTTCTTATTTTCTAGAGATTGAACATGGTTTACCATGTCTTTGTGGGCAGAAGCATATTCGCTCATTTTCTGTTCCACGTGGGTCGTGTGGGTGTCCAGCTCCTGTACATCCTTGCAGAGAGTGTCCGCTGTATATTGCCACGAGACTATAAGCTTGCTCGATAGTATCCAGGACCTGTGACAGAAATGCCTTTGTTACGTTTTCCGCATCAGTTGCAGGCAGATGCTCTGTAGTTGGTGTCAGGACACTCATGTCAGAGTCACCGTCGCCATCTTGGGGGTCCAGCATTGGGCCTAGATGTGCTGCGGGAGTTTTATGGCTAAAAATAATAAATTTTTCCGCTTTAGCACCACTTTCTTAGATTTGTGTTGGTACATCTTTTTTTGGCGTGTTTGAATGGTATTTGCAGCTTCTTTTCCACACTTTGTATGGAGCTCAGTACAGGAGCAATTCTTTATGTGGCCATATTGCTCGGCGGTCAGCCAAGCCCCCCTCTATTGTCATTATAATGATTATATTTTTTTTTTTTAATATAGGATGGCTCTGCCACAGAACTTCTTAGTTAACTTTTTAGAATTTTTTAAATAATGTCCATAAAGCTTACTATCAAATATAGCAAAGATAAGATACTATCTATCTATACTATCTATATATGTATAGAGGACAGAAAAATTAAAATCTGTACATTTCTCACAATGGTTCATATTGATATCTTCATATATTACACTAGTAAGTGAAAAAACTGATGGCAACACAAGACAAAAATATTGGATGAAGCAGAAAATTTAAATAGAGAGAAATTTGATTAAATTTAAAGAAAAAAACAAAAAACTATTTAACACTACCAAAAGTACTGCATTTTAATAACAAAAGTTGACAAATCAAAGACTGCTATATGCTGTGCAAGTTGAACAACTAATAATAATCAAGAGAATCAGAACACTTTTAACCCCTTAAGACCGCAGGGCGTTCTATGCCGTCCTTAATTACCCCCTTAGTATATTAATTAATTAATTTGTCCCCCTAGAATGGCACGTCACTACTCAGCCGAGGAGGCGTATGCCATTCTGGCAGGCAGTGATAGTGACACTCTGCAAGACAGTGATCACTATCACTGCCTCTGACATTGAGCCTCTGAGTGAGACCTCAAGTGATGGTGCCCCACCACCACTCGCAAGAGGACGCTTAGCAAGCCCAATGACAGATGGAGACTGAGTGCCTCCAAACATGATGGCCCCAGAAATACCACCATTCACTGTTACACCTGGCATCACTGTAACAGTGGACGACTGCGAGCCAATTCATTTTTTTAGCTCTTTATGTCAGACGATATATTTGAGCTCATGGCTCAGCAAACAAATTTGTTTGCCATGCAGTATCTCTCTGCACATCCGGGGTCCCATCATGGTCGCAGGAATATGTGGAGACCCACGAATGTCGCAGAGATGAACCGTTTTTTTGTTTTAACCCTAATGATGGTGTCATGCCAAAAGCATGAGTTGGTGTTTGATGTGTGTTGATATATGTTAAGAGTTGTTTTTTTGTAAACCTTGGGATGACATTTATTGTGGTCTTTGATCTTGCACCAGGCCTAGACCATAAAACATCTATAAAGCAATCACCAGAGCTGGACACAAGGAATTGCATAGAGTGGGCAATAAACTGCCAGACCAACCCCCTATGATTCCCCCCCCCAGGGGTCTGCCCACTGAGAACCAACTAGTTTAGGTATATAATGAGGGTGCTGGACTATCCAGGGAGTTCAGTTATTCATTTTTTCTTTGGTCAGTAACTTCTAGGAGACCTATACCATCTAAGGCTCCCACAAGAATTCTATGTGGGGTAAATATATGTAAGGAATTTCTTGTGTTTTCTTCTATTTTATTTTATGTACTGTTTTGCAATTTGTTATCTGTATATCATTTATTTCTGTATTTTGTACTCAGCACTGTGAATCTTTTTTGTCAGATTAAATGTTTACTTAATCAGCTTGTGTCTCTGTTCTTAATGAGCTTCACTCTCCAGAGGAAAGCTCAGGTAAACACGTTACCAAAAAGGGTTAATTATATGTGTTTGATCAGTAAAAGTAGAACTGTGATTCTATAAGTCTCCTGTGTGTGAGGTAACCTAAGACGCCCGGGTTTAAAAGTCTTGGTGGTGGCAGTAAAGTGTGTACTAGGGGGTTAGTGTAGAAGGGATTGCAGGGGTTAATTGAGTGGTTGCTGGGACTAGCAACAGGTAACCAGGGGTCTGGTGTCATTAACCCTGTCACTTCCACACTCTCTCTACTGTCTCGGCTGGGCCTATAGCCCACGCTCGTGACAGACGGGTATAGTTAAAGAGCCCAGTATCAGGTCCTACTGGAGCAAGCAACGCATCCTGGCTACCCCTCTTTTCCCTGAGGTTATGCTGAGGGATCGTTACCTGCAACTGCTGCGATTCCTTCATTTTAATGATAACTAACTGTGTCCACCTAGAAACGACCCACTGTTTGACAGGCTCTATAAAATTTGTCCCTTTATCCAACTCCTGTCAGACAAATTTTCTGAAAATTATATCCCCGATAAAGATATTTCAATTGATGAGTCCCTTATGACATTTAAAGGTTGACTGCTATTTAAGCAATATATTCCATCTAAGCGGTCCCGATATAGCGTTAAATTTTATAAATTATGCAAATCCTGTACTGGTTACACATGGGCGTTTCGCATTTACCAGGGGAAGGATAGCCATCTTGACCCACCAGGATGCTCTGATTCTGTGGGTACAAATGGCAAGATTGTTTGGGATCTAATCCTTCCCTTGTTGAATAAGGGATATAGGCTATGGGTTGACAATTATTATACCAGTATAGAATTATTTAAAAATGTATATTGCTTTGAAACCCTAGCCTGTGGCACAGTGAGGAAGAATCACAGGGGTTTCCCCCAAGCCCTGGCAAGAGGCAGAATCAGTAGAGGTTCCTCTTCAGCTCTCCACCAGGATGAGTTGCTTGCTCTTCGCTTCAGAGATAGTAAAGATGTATACATGCTGTCTACGATGCACGACGAAAGTTCAGTGCCAGTGTCTGTGAGAGGTAGCACTGAACATCTGGAAAAGCCGAAGTGTATTTTCAGCAAGTTTATGGGGGGAGTAGACTTGGCTGACCAACGAATAGAGCCCTATCTGGTGAACCGAAAAACTAGGACCTGGTGCAAGAAAATTGCAACCTATGTGAGCCAGATTGCAATTTTCAATACCTATGTCCTCTATACAAATTTTTTTAGGTAGGCCCTGCCCTTTCCTCGAATTCACACAAAGCCTTTTGTCCCGTATGTTATTTACCCAGCCCCCCAATCCCACTTTGGAATCAGGTGATCTCCAAAAACTTTGTGGAAAACACTTCCCTTCCCGAATCCCACCCACCTCTAGTAAAAAAGCTCCCCAAAGAAAAAGCCGTGTTTGCTACAAGAAAGGAGTCCGAAAGGACTCCAGTTATTATTGCCCTACCTGCCCATCTCTACCCGCTCTCTACATAACAGACTGGTTCAAAGTCTACCATACAGAGCTGAACTTCTGAATCACTCTGTATGGGACTTTGGCAGTTTGTTTGCTTGATTTCCCTGGATTTCTGACCTAACTATGCTTTGTAAGCTGCTTGTACCGACCCATTGGCTTGTTTTACCGATTACTCCGACTTCTGGATTCCCCTGACCTTGGCCTGTCCCTGTTTACGCTAGCCATTCTAAAGTGGCTACACCAAACAACTCAAAATACTATATTTGTAGTACTTGAAATGTGACTTTCCAATAAAAAACTAATCACAGAGTTAATGCTGTGATTAGCACTGAAAGGGTTACAAAAAATAGTTTTTTTTTTTTTACTTCTCAAACTTTTCACACAGTAACTCTCTATGTGATATCAAAGATCTATCTGCCTCTCTCTGCCTTCAGATCAAAGTGTATGTGGGGGTACTGTTCTATTCCTGTGACATAATAAAATGACAGTGTTAAATCAAAATACCAAGTCTCTATTGCACTAACTAATATCAGGATTATGACATTTCCAGTGAAAATGCAATTTATCTGATTAAAAAGACAAGAATAAAAGTAGAAATCGCTACATGGGCCCAGCATTTCTGTTACAATGGCTAGATCAAACATCTCAAGTTATGCCATTTCTTATACTCTGGGGTGCCTACTTTTGAAAATGGTATGCCATAACGGTGGAAATGTTATTACCCAGGCTGCCATACTCTCTGTAAAGCAACATAGGCCCAGAAAATCACTTTGTCAAATCTCCAACTTTGAAAAGGACATCTAATATTTTTATCCCTGTGACTTCCCCCCATAAAACAGAAAATCTAGTACATGGGGGTACTGTTACATTCAGGAGACAATGTTAAATACAAATAGTGAGGCTTAGTTGCAATAACTCATAAAAGTGATTATTAGGGTGACCACACTTTTGATTTATAAAAGGGAATCTATAAAGCCCTATATTGGCACAATTTGGGGATGTATTTAATATTGGCACGAAGTGATGATAGGTTTTGATATTATTGTAATCCATAAATTATTTAGATACACTTTTTAATCACTTTGGAAGTTGAAAGTATATTCACGCTGACCCTTACTGGGTAATGGGAAGATCAGGGACACTATTGGGTGTTTTATTTTAATATAAATCATTCTAATGTAGATATCTATGCGATATGTGGTATTATTTAGATAATTATGATAATTTTTTTTTATTTTTATTTTCCTCTCGTTACCCCCTCCCTCTTTGTTGTTTTTTCTCTCCGGTTATAGGAAGTTCTATGGTCCCATGCTTATTCCTGTGGGAGTCTAAGAGATTCTCAGTATGTGGAATATTACTTTTGGTATTCCAGCAGTTTATGTAGACTTAATTGTTTTAATGGTGTATTGTCTGATGTGTAGTTTGTTTAACTGGTCGTATGTGTTGCAGTTGTGGGCAAGGAGCCCTAAGAAAAAACCTAGATTAACTGATGGTTAGAATTTTGTCTATCAATGCGCAAGGCCTTAATTCTCCTCACAAACGAGGATTTTTGTTTAATACCCTGGCGAATCAGAAAATCAAAATAGGGTTTATACAGGAAACTCACTGGTCAGCGGAAGCTGGAAAATTATGGTTTTTCAAAAAATACCCGGTGATTTATTCCGCTTATTTAAAAGGAAAAAAGAAATGTGGTGTATCTATAATTTTCTCTAGAGAAGTTAGTTTTGATTGTAGTTATAACTATTTAGACCCGGAAGGGAGATTTATTATTCTGGTGGGTCAATTGAATG